TTTTACCAACTAGTGATAGAATAATATCAGCGCAAAGGAGACAATTTCTTTTTGTATGGAGAATGGGCCCTAAACGAATTTCAGAGAATTTTAATGAAATGTATATCGATTTATTCCTTATAACCTATAGATTACAAAATTAATATTAGTTTTATCGCATCTAATGGGAATTCTGAGAAATTAACAATTGAAATATAAATATCACAATAACCTTAAAACAAACTAAAAGCGATTTTCTAGTAGTTTTCACAGATATTATGAGTTAGAATAGTGTATATAGAATAGAATAGCTTATTAATTAACAGTATTAAACAAAGTTGTAGGTACATTCAGCAATTATAGGTACTTTAAGATTGATGGAAAATCCTTTTAACACTTCCTTCACGTAGTGCACAGACAAACAAACGTAGTGTGGGGACTATTTTTTACAGGTATTAATTGATGAGTGAATATACATCACAAGCACCATTAAATTTATTAAATAAATATGATTAAAGACAACATGAATAACGGATAATATGACCATTTATAATATTACCTTTACATGCTACATAGTAAGATGTTTTAAACTGGTTGTATAAGGCTAAAACACAAAGTAAAATGCCACTGCATTAACTGTTGTAATTATTTCCAAAGCAATCTCTTAATAGTGGAACAGACAGACAGGTGCGGTGTCAAGACTTTAATATGTTTTGGTTGAATCAGTAAAGGTGCAGTGCGTAAACTTTGTTTTAAAATATATTAACTGATTAGTTATCATACCCCATGTACACGCCCCTAGCTGCCCCAATCAAGGATGACGGGATTAGGGCCCATGAGTAATCCCAGCGACGAGCAGCAGAAAGACGGGGCCAAAATCTGGCCACGTGGAATATCTCTAATTACACTAAACTATATGGGGGAGCGTTCTATACTACGGCCAGTCGACCGGGAGGATATTAGACGGAGCTTACTTACCTATATCCAAGGCGACTGGTCCCTCCGGAGTCGGTCAGGTCGCATGTGGTTGTGTAGTGCAAGGGAAATAGGGTGATGTGATGTGTATATCTGGGTGTGACTGATGGTGATTGACCCTAGACCTTGGCCGTCGGCAGCAGCCCGGGCGTCGACACCGCTCCAAATTGAGGGAACCTTCCGCGGAGTTGTCCACAGTCACTTTCCTCGTTCGTCACGATGACAGTCAATTAACTCTATCGTACGATTAACTAACTTACAGAAGCCACTAACTCTCGTTGGGTATGAGGTTAACGCACAAAACGCACACGGAGTTTCCGGATCAAAGGTCACTACCGTTGCGCGTAGCAACAGTTATTTCTAGAATATCAAAGGCCGCACTAGCTAATATTGCCGAATGCACTTATGCAGATTCTGAGTCAGACACAATGAGTCCCTGGGAAGCTCTCCAGCAGGAATGCGCGCCACAAATCCTAGACCGTATATTTACTGTCCGCGCCAAATTATTCCGAGTTCCCGACAAAAATGACAGCGTGCTAACGTTAGCACCGCTTACAGACGACTCCACTGCACCTTTACGCGTTCTACGCACGACCGAAAGTCAAACCGGTATAAATGCACCGCGTCGAGCGCGGTGCATTCATACCGGTTTGACCGGTTTGGTCTCGCGTTAATTCTTGAAATTAGCGTTTGGCGCGAACACCCCAAATACCATTAAAACAAAATGACTAGGTAATATCATGCTTATCTCTGTTATTACACACATAAATATCAACTAAGTTGTTTTAAACTGTTTGTGTAAGGATAACAAAAACACATCATCATCAACATCATTACAGTCTTTCATAAGTCCACTGCTGAACATAGGCCTCCCCCAAGGAATGCCACAAAAGCACGGTCCTGAGCCACCTGCAACCATCAACTTCCTGCATGTCTTACCAGGTCGTCACTCCATCTCATGGGGGTCACTCTACATTTCGCCTACCGGTACGAGGCTGCCACTCTACAACCTTTCTTCCCCATCGGTCGTCGGTTCTTTGAGCTATATGGCCGGCCCACTGCCACTTCAGCTTATTAATCCGTTGGGCTATGTCGGTCACTCTGGTTCTACTGCGGATATTCTTATTTACGCTTACTAATCCGTTGGGTTATGTAGTTTACTCTGGTTTTACTGCGGATATACTCATTTCTAAGTTTATCACGCAGAGAAACCCCGAGCATAGCCCTCTCTATAGCTAGCTGAGCGACCTTGAGCTTCCTCATACGGCCAGCAGTGATGGACTAAGTCTCAGATCCGTAAGTCATCACTAGCAACACGCACTGGTTGTATAATTTTGTTTTAAGATTTTGAGGTATGTCTGACGAGAAGATGTGTCGTAGCTTCCCGAACGCTGCCCAGCCGAGTTGAAACCGTCGATTGACCTCTCGGTCGAAGTTGGACTTACCTAGTCGAACTAGTTGTCCCAGGTAAACATACTCGTCAACAACTTCGAGCTTAGTGCTCGCAACAACTACCAGCATAATTGTGACATGGACATTAAACATAATCTTTGTTTTGTCCATGTTCATCTTAAGACCTATCCGTTGGGAGACACTATTGAGGTCATTGAGCATAGTGCTTAGGTCCTCCAGCGATTCTGCCATAAGGACTATATCGTCGGCAAATCGAAGGTACTCGCCATTGATGTTAATTCCATATCCTTTCCAGTCCAGAAGCTTGAAAACGTCTTCCAATGCAGCGGTGAAGAGTTTCGGGGATATAACGTCACCCTGTCTTACACCTCTCTGCAATTGGATAGGTTTCGTACTCTGGTTCTGTACTGGGATAGCCATTGCTCTACTGTACAAGCACTTCAGCACTTCGATATACCGACAGTCAACTTGGCACCGCTGAAGGGACTGCAGCAACGCCCAAATTTCGACGGAATCAAAAGCTTTCTCATAGTCCACATACGCCAGGCATAGTGGCAAATTGTACTCCTCGGACTTTTGTACAACTTGCCGAAGGGTATGTATGTGGTCTATGGTGCTAAAGCCTCTTCGGAAACCTGCTTGTTCGGGAGGTTGGATGTCGTCAAGTCTGCGTGCGAGACGATTCGTAATGACTCTCGAAAACAGCACTTAGACGCGGCTCAGAAGGGAAATCGGTCTGTAGTTCTTCAAGAGAGCATTGTCACCTTTCTTGAAGAACAAGACCACCGCACTTCTGCTCCACGCCTCCGGTGTAATGCCACCACGGAGGACGGAATTAAAGAGCCTCTGAAGGACTTCTAGTACCGGTTTTCCACCCGCTTTCAGAAGCTTCGCTGTAATTTCATCCTCGCATGGGGCCTTGCCGTTTTTAAGGTGCTGAAGAGCCATTCTAATCTCGCTCAGACTGACGTCCGGGATATCTTCGGAATAGTGTCGGATAAGACTCGCTCTTGGATCGTTACTCACACTTGCGTGTGGCTCCAACGATGACGTGTACAGCTGCCCATAGAACCTCTCAATCTCACTCAAAATTTAAGGTGTCCCGGAAACGACACTGCCACACTCGGTTTTCAGCTTCGACAGTTGGTTCTTTCTGGCAGACAGATCTCTACAAATATTATATTTTCAAATGGTATATAAAGGAGAGAATTTAGAAAAACATAGTAGAAAAGCGAAGAAAAGTGCCTTGTTAATTTCTTTCAGATTGAATTTAGATCATGGTTGCTGGTCTCAACGGAGATATCTCTCATCTGCGCAAGACAAAACTAGACTGTACGAGAGTATGGGCAAATACAGTTGCATTCTCCATTCCCTCACTTTTATAGTTGGTTGGGTGCAGGACTAACGGATTTACGTATTTCTCGAGGGGTGAAACTAGCATTTTGACTATGAGCTACTACTGAGAATTTATTGACTGAGAAACCCAACCCGGGATTTGAACCCGGGACCACACGATCAATAGTAACGCTTACGACCACTAGATCAACGAGGCAGTAAAATTAATTTAAGACAATCTGAAGCAGTTGCTCATTGGTTAGATCCATTACCCAAGCCAAACAGTGTCCGAAGCCAGAAGCCAGAAGAAGCGAATGATCTACTGTTGGCGTTATTTTCTGAAGCTTTTTGTCATCTATTGCTACAGTTAGTGCACATCGTCAAAAATTGCAAATGTTGGTCGAGAAGCTGGTACTCAGTCAATCCATAATAGTGAATTGTTCTAAAAGATTGCTTCTTCGTGACAACGCCCGGCTACGTATTGCATAGCAGAGGTGGGCAAAACTAGCAGTGCTAAAGCTTTCACAACCACCGTATTCTCCAGACCTTACTCAACAGGCTTCCACTTTTTTCCAAGCAAAGATAACTTTTTGATTGGCTGAAGGAAGAAAATTTTATACATTATACACAAACACAACAGAATAACTTTTTTGAGATAGTGTTGTATATTAACAGTGAGAGTAATGAAACACAGATACGGGTAAGTTAAAATCCTGTTTATTTGAAAATTTAAGTATTAGTAATTTATTTTTTAAATGGTAACTTATTTGCATCACAATGGAAGGAAAAAAAAAACAACTAATATAAAACAATATAGAAATAATTTAACATTTTTTACAAAGTAAACTAAATTATAAATAAATTTAACTAGTCACATTTTAATTCATTAAGCTCGATTTAAATAGTTATTCATTTACGTGTAAAACTTGATTGCTAGTTAACGTTTGTCAAAACAAAATAGTATTGTTTACAGGAGTACAATAATCAATATCACAGTGTTCGACAATAAAATACAGCGTTAGTGTTGTAAATTAAAATAGGAAAATAGATACACAATATTTACTTAATGTTAGGGAACTTGAAATAAACGCGTTTAAAATAATAAATTTTTAAAATGATTATCTCAATAAGTTGACTAAATCCTGGTTACAATATGTTCCGTTCAGTCTATTTGCTTTCGAATATTATGTACTTCGATCTATATGATATGCAAGTTTATGGATTAATACGAGTATTATAAACACGAGACTTTAAAATGAAAAACTGATTATAAAGTTTCAATAATTGACAAACATTATCTAAACCGACGATTTACTACATGCATTTATATCACCAATGCTTTTGACCCGCCTATGTCTTTTCTGTTTTATGGCCGTATCATCCATGGATTTTGCTGGAAGTGGTGAGCTGACTCTATGAGCATGGTCTGCTTTCTGGCCGTATCTAAAACAATGATTTAATTCAAAAATCTTTCTCATATGCATAATAAATAAGTTAACCTTTGAAAAATGTTCGCCTTACAATACCTGTGAGTTATATTGGTGACTTCTTTAATATCATTCAGTCGCTGCAAACTATCTCTGGTTGATACACTTGACTGAGAATACAAACTAAGTGGAGTATATATAGGCTCATATTCCTGCAGCGTTGGGGGAGGAGCGTATGTCATGCTTAATTGAGATAGTGTCCTTACACCAATTGGTGGCGAATATGACATTTGGTAAGTTTGTCCAGTAAGACTTAGAACGCTTGAACTTTCGCTTGAGCTTGATGGTGATGTTCGGTCGAGTTTCGGTTTAAGCACTCCCAAAGCACGAGATATAGAGCCCTGATATAAACAAAAAAGTTCAGTTATGTATAAGAATAATAAACAATTTAATAAATTAAGTACATTACAAAGGTATATTACAAAATTTACCCTTAAACTGTGTCTCTTATAATCTGCAGTAAAATCAATACCCGGTAATCCTGTTGCAACAGATCTTGAAAATGGTCTTCCTAACATTCTTATCTGATGTCCAAACATGTTTCTGTGAATAAGTTGTAATTTAGTACATTATTTGAAATGTTTAGAAAACTATCAAAATATTTGACAAAAGCCAGGCAGAAACACGATCCATTTATATTTTATTATCATGTCATCAAATTCGCTCTAACTTTATAGTTGGCTAACACAGAAAGCTAACATGCAGTATTCATTGTATAAGTTAAAATTATTTATACAATATCACTCTTCACTATCGTTGCAAAGAGAAGTTTTCTAAAAACATCTATCAATTAAATTTCGAATTATTTCGTTGAAAATTTACAGTGACTTTAAAATATTTGGCATAAACACCAAAAGCATGTAGCACTTGAACATAAAAACAGTCATGCTAATTGTAAACGAATATGATGATAAAAAATAATCTAGCAGAAATAGAGAAACACTGAGAAACAATCTAGGCACAAAGAAAAGTACTGATTTCTGTAAGTATGGTTAATGATGTGCAGTACTATTCTCTGTGATGACATTTTAAAATAAGGACAATAGTCAAAATGTTTAAATCAAGTAGACAAGCATGTCAATGTATTCCAAAATAATAAACATACGTGGTAACATAAAATGCTTGATATTTAATACAAGAAATAAAGTTTCTTTCATGGAGAAAAAGTGGAGAAGGCCCGAAAAAGTGCGATCTAATGATGATGACAGAGAGGCATTCATGACGTATCGATAAAATGGTCGTTACCGTTCTGTCTCGATGCTTGGACCGCCAAGTATAGAGGTGGTTGTGGAATAGAAAATAAACTAGCTCGACATCTCCTGGGTTTATCTTTTATGACGATTTATTCACATTTATAGGTCAATACATAGTGTTAGAAGTGAACCTAATATACACTGTTTTCAGTTTTAGTTAGTAATGTATACAAGATTAAACACATTTATGTTACATCATTAATTATTACTTTTATTATTTTGTGTAGCAAATATGTTTTTTTCGTTAAAGTTCTATTAGAAAAGACGAAAAGTTACAAAAACATGTCAATTCAATTTTTTTTAATTCTTTTTAATTTAAGAAATAATAAACGATACGAACAATTGAAATGTACGTTAAATGGGATCTGAGGTACCCCCTACAACAATTACACGGAGCATTTGATGCTTTTACGTTAATACCAACTAAGTTGTATGTTATACATTTACTAAATAAGTATACGAAATTCTGAATTACATCAAATCTGCCAACTATATACTACGGCAAGTGACTAGGGGGCTACATTGATGACAGCATTATTTTTGGTTTTAGAGAATGCATAAAGTAAAAAATATAATTTGTACTTTCATTACTTTCCGTGATTTTACTTACAAATCTCAATCCCTAGAGTGATTTATCAGTCTTCACCGCTCGTAAAGAATTCGATCAACAAACTTCGAAATGCAAAAAAAAATATTCCGGATGGTTCCTACAATGCTTATTTTCGCCAAAAATTTTTTTTATGAAAAATAGCATTCTTACAAACATTTGTTTTAATGAAACTTTACATATAGGTACAAATTTTCGAAATTGGACACCGAAGCGAAATTTATTTTCTGAAGGAAAGCTTTTTGATTTTCGTAGGTTTATCTTTGTTTTGTGGACAACATGGATGCTCGGGCAGCCTCCACTTGCAGTTCTTCCACCTGGCAAAATATCGTATACCTGCAGGATTGTACCTTATATTATAATCAACTACGGGTTGCTCACCTACGGAACTGTGACTTGTCAACTACATTTCGACATGCAATGCACATTTGTTTTTAAATTTTACGGGTCAGAAAACAATAGTAATTTGGTTATGAAAAAATTAGGGATGTAACGATTACATTTTAGGTGAGGTTATTTAGCTACTAAAAATATAAACTTGGTAACGAATATCACTGGTTATAGAAGTTATAATTTTTACGTCTTTGCAAATTAGAAAATATACCACTTACTGTAATTTATTATAAAAAATTGATAATGTAAGCAGTGCTATATTTTCAATACAAGTTAAAATCAATTTGTTATAAGGTGTATGTACCTCGCTGGGATGATAAGAGCGTCAAATTCAGCCACCAAATGCCTTCGAATAATGCTCTTTGATGGCGGTATCCCGAGTGCTGTGGCCATTGTCTCTCCAGTAAAAGAAGGCTCTAAAACAACTAGGCCACCATGCACGCCGCTATCTAGTATTTAAAAGAATTTTTTATTAAGTTCGTTTGGATCAGTTTTCGTGTACAATTTTAATCAATTGTAATGATAATTTTATCAGTTACCTTTAAGATTATCGGCAAATTCTCCTAAATCGATATTGTGGGCCCAGCGTATAAATCTTTGATTGGTCCAAACTAATGGATCTGCGTCAACATTCTCACACTGATGCCTTCTCACTGCTAATGCCTATAAAAATTAAATCAAGATAGCCACTTTACATTTCTCAATTCGGTTATTTTTTATTTTTTTTTCGATTATATAAAAATCAAAAAGTGAAGTTCCTATATAAGACAAAATAGAACATTTTTACTCAATTAGATCATATCACAAGGCTTATTGAAAATCAACATTTAACAACACTTTTGGATAATACATTTGTCCTGGAAAGAATCAGTAAGGAAAATAAACTTTCAATAACATTATACAGTTATTTATATAAATTATAATACAACCAGCATGCAATCGTCCCATTCCCGGAGGTCATTTTATTCCTGTATTTCTTAATATTATAATAACCCTTATTATACAATTCTTACAAAAAAACATTCTGGCATTGTGTTGTAAAAATGTATACACTGCCTCGTAAATTAATTGATAATTATGTCGAGTCTAGTAACTGGCTGCACAATATAAAAAAATATAAATGGTGGAACCAGGCTGTAGCGTATTGTTCGTGTTTTGTATGGTGAATACAGGAGATCTTTGTAACTGGTAACGAGTACAACTTAGTCCTCAGATGTGACAACGATTTCTGCACGCGACACACAAAACGCACTGCGAATGCATGCAATGCAATGAATGGATGTAGGTGTCTCTCGGCTAGAGTAACTTACCATCAGGTGAAATTTGTGTTCCTTTGTCACCTTTAATTATATAGAAAAAGATATGTTAAAAGTCTTAAACATACTTACGTAGGTAACTTTAACTATTGAATATCCCATCATCAGTACAGCCTATCAAATGTCTACTGCTGAACATAACCCTCCCCCATAGACTGCCTTATAAGAGGACTATTTGCCATTTGTCACCACGCTTGGAGGCGGGTTGCCAACTGCAATTTTTTATTACACTTTGAGTTGTTATCAGGAAGAGGCTGTTGTTTCTTCCAGTCGCCTCATATGACACCAACTTCATGATATAGGGTAGTGGCTATTCTGACGCCGCCCCAATTGTGTAATACAATCAATTATACTTATGATGAAAAAGCTGTTGTCGCGAAATTAGTTCAAGACTCGGCGCTGACTTATATGCAAACGAACACCGTGATAACAGCATTGCTCAATTAAAGAAAAAGAAGAAAGTCTTTCCGCTGTACATTTCAATTATTTACGGAGTATTACTGGATGGGTAATTGTGTAATAATAGTATAATATAAATACTTTATTTTCTAATGTTAAATTATAGTGATTTTATTTATAATGCACGTCTACATACATACATATAATCACGACTCTTTATCGCAGGGGTAGGCAGAGATCACTTCTTTAATAATAATAATAATAATAAGAATAAGAATAATGCACGTCTTCCGCAATATAATATGCAAATAATTATTTAGGCAAAGGTATCAAATATGTTCAATTTTATTGCAGTCAATACACACAAATAATAATAAAAATCTCATAGATTGCTTACTTGTCTATCGTATTTCATTATTCTGAGCAGATGAATGCCATGGACTATTGAAGCTTGGTGAAACTTGCGAGTGACTCCCAAATATTTCTCCAGTTCCTTTTTGCTGATTGTGTCTAACATGCGAGCATCCACCAGATTTGCTAAGAAGGACTCTGCGTACTGTTAATTGGTCATATAATATATTACATTATTTTTAGACATGTACTTTGTGGATTTAAATAATTATATTTTTTGTTATGATAATTTAAATTAGCTAAAAGGAACAATATCGTCGATGTCGTAACAGTCAGCTAAGGGAACTGATACATAATGATAAAAGTTGCTAGCGGGATAACAGTGGCATATAATTTCGAAATTAAGAGAGGTATGGAGGTGTAAGGAATTTGTAAATTACTAATATACTGACGTTTTTTTACAAATAATGCTGACGTCACGCCGTTCACGATACAACTAAAAAACGAGAATCTAACAAATTATGCTAAATTAATTTTTAAATGAAACTTTAGTATATACATATCTTACAAGTAAAGAATTAAAATATAAGAAGCTTATGTTTAATTACTTGTAATGTATTGTTTAATAAATTACGAATATATTAATATATTACAATACATTTATGTAATTAACAAAAATATATAAATAAAACTACCAAATAGCGCTATTACAATTACACTTTTCACGGTAAAGTACAATACCTAAAAAATCAACTCTCATATTTATCTGTGATGTGGCTGATTTGGCATTAATGTGCGAGGGTGTTGGCTCTGCGTTTACTAATGATTTATTATATTTACGCGAATACTACACATGAAATAAAACTATTTTTACGGATTTAATCGCGTTTAATTTTAATTTTTATTTAATGTCCGGACGTTTCGGACACTTCACGCGACTTTTTCGCGACCAAACTCGCGATACCATCCATACTATCTGGATGATTGGCGGTCCATCACTGTACGATTTAGAAGAAGTTTTCTTCCTCGCACAACTCCTTGTGGAATCGACTACCACCAGAGATTTTTCCGGACCGATACGACTTAGGGTACTTCAAGAAAAGAGCCTACTATTTTTTAAAGTCCGGCAAAGCATCTGTAATTCTCCTGGTGTTGCAGTTATTTATGGGCGGCTGTAGTCATTTACCATCAGGTAAGCCGCATGCGCGTTTGCCTCCTCTGATATAAAAAAGAACACAAAGATAACTTTACAGCACCCATGGTCCCCCCGATAAAACCTGTAAAATTAGTTTTATTCCATCTGCGCTTACTAAGTCACACTCTCGGCCTATTAAACTCCAAAACCTTGCTCAGCAATTATATATTTTATCGTTAAATAAAGAGAAAAGTTGGATCTCAGAGGTGACAATGCAGCAATGAGGATATAGGATACATCCTTTACCTACCATCAGTTGGAATATGTTCTCGTTTGTTACCCTAAGTCTATAAAACTTAGAAAATTTCTTCAAATAAAAAAACCACAAGAATGTAACTACATTCTTCTTCTTTTTTTTCATCGGCATCTTAAAGGCAACTTTTGGAAATTGCGCTACCGTTGTAGGAAAGTTGGCCTTAATCGCCATACTTGGCAGATTTACCATATCAGGTTAAAACATCGCACACCTTTGATGTGCTACTCCTTGTTGCTGGTCTAGACATTTTACATCTAACGTAAACATGATGGTTATATAACTATCTTTCTGAAGCCATGAGATGATTCTGGCATTTTGTATAGTCTCCATCACAATCACTCTTTATCACTATTTATATTTTACTTTATTCTTTGAAAAACTGTTAATTTTATATTTTAAATAGAAAAATGTTTTAAAATAAAAATGTAGATATTTACTTATGACCGTAAGAAATAAAATTTCACCTGTGATAAACCCAAGTCTGGTAGCCATTCTGCAGCTACCCAGGCGTGAGTAAGATGACCAATACTCGGGTTTCTAACGAGATCAGGACGGCGGCGCTCCTCAATAGCCAGACGCAGTTTCTTGCGATGCATCGGCTGTGTGATCCCAAGTCCCACTTCCAAATCCGTGTCTGTCAGCTCAAGCAGAACCTGCCCATTGAAAGCACGAATCTAGAAACAACCAGAACACAATATTTGACGCTTTTTGCGTCAATATTTCTGCTAACAATCTTTCATGGAACCTTGACTTTTATATTGAAACTATTTTAATTTAATAGTGAATGTTTAAAAACACAAATAGATGAAACTAATAATTAATAATGATAAATACGAACCTTGCCACTTTTTACATTATCAGCAATAGTTGCGGCATATTGCGGCATCCCAAGTGCTAATTCCATCCATGCTATAATGGCTGGCGCACGCCATCTTGACAGTGGTAGGGAAGCCGCCTCACGCAATGCTGCCTCACTGCCGAGCGGTGACCACGCACGGTTTGTACCGCCCGTACCAGCATACACCGGTTCTTAGCACAAAGAAGAAGTAATTAATATTTCGTTTCGTTTTCTATTTTACGTATGATTTCTTTGTCATTCTATATTTTAATGTCATAAATCGCAGGAATTTGTTAAATAAGTAACTGATGGAAAGAATGCTATTACTTATCTTTATATATAAAAATTACGTGTCACGTTGTTTGTCCGCGATGGACTCCTAAACTACTGAACTGATTTCAATGAAATTTTACACACTGTGTGCAGTTTGGTCCAACTTGAGAGATAGGATATTTTTTATCTCGATAAGTGACCCCTTATATATATATATATATAAGGGGTATTATTATATATACACATAATACATACCTTATATATACACATAATACATATTTATATGAAAATAAGAGCTGTGTTTGTTTAAACTGGCAACGATTTTCTCACATGCTTACAGACTTGATTCTTAAAAACAAACTTGTTGGGAGCTTCATTAATGTCAAGGGGATGTCGTTCCTGAGTCTGATGGCCTTCAGGGCGAAAAAGTAAGATAAGTAACCAGTACGGTGCAAAAGAGTGAGCAAATTAAGATTAGCCGAAGAAGGGGTTCTCTCCCCTCTTTTAACTTTTAATATTATTTGAAACTGTTATAAATGTAAAAACTTGTCTTACTTAAATTGTTAATTGTTTGATTTTGATTGAATGACGATTTTTATAGTGAATATGGATAAGTACAATTTTTTTCTGTCAATGTAAAAATTCTTAACTGACCCTCACCACTTTCATGTCCACTAACTGCGGCGCTGCCTGATTTAGTGCGGTGCCTGCTTCTTGCAAACACACGTGAAATGGATCCCCATGCGGACCCACGGCCCCGTCCTCCTTTACTGCATGCTCGTGATCGCAACCCTCCGACCAGCGCTGATTCGCATTCACCCGGACTTGACAATTGTTCTACTGACCTGTTTAAGTTAAAAAAATGCAATCAATTATTTCAAAATAATTTTCCTATTAGTCTTACTGAAATCTAACCAGTATATTTTAACTTAATGGTTATATTACTACACCTTAAACTATATTAGAGCTTTAACATTAGTTATTAAAATTAGACAAAAACGCAGGAGGAGGTATAAAAAATATTTTATAACCAATTTGCTAGTTTTTACCTCTTTTGAGTAAAATTTGAGTAAAATATAATAAAAGAAGATGTAGTAACAAAAATTGAGAAAGGTATGCTGAGATGGTTTGGCCATGTCGAGAGAATGAATGAAGAACGATTGACGAAAAAAGTGTATAAGGCGAGTGTGAATGAAAGTGTTGGAAGGGGTAGACCTAGGCGGACATTTCTAGACTAAATCAGGGACGTCTTGAAAAAAGGCCAGGTCAAGAGTACCCTAAACCGTAGAGCATGTATGAAGGGAATAATGAAAGTGGACGAAGCAAAACAAGTATGCAAGGATCGTAGTAAGTGGAAAGAACTGGTCTCTGCCTACCCCCACGGGAAAGAGGTGTGATTATATGTATGTATGTATGTAAAATATTTAGACAAACCTTGAGAGTGAACCAGCATCAATGGAACGAGTAAATGGTGATGCGCTATTGTGTGGAGACAGAGTTGGACTGCAATCTCGAGGTGTGCTCACTATGAAAACAAAAATAATATTTTAATAAATGGCTTAAAAATATTTTTGATTTAAATTTAACAAATACAACAAATTTGCTTAAAAGGCGATATTCACCGTAGGTAGTTAACTTGCTTTGTCTCTAAAAGAATTTGTAAATTTATTAATGAAGTTATTGATGATTAACAAACAAAAAAGCCTTACGTTGATAATGGTGAGCAGACGATACAAGTGAGGTAGCATCGGTGTCGTATGGATCGATTGATGCTGGCATGCCCTCTGCAGTTGAGTCTGATAAATTTCCACCACATACGGAAGTCGCTCCACCATCACTGCTTCCTGTCACTAACAAAAGCTCTATTAAACTCACTTAAGTATACCATTCTTAAGACGTTATTATTATTATTTTTTAACTTTGGAATTTACATAATAGTGATTGAATCTATAAGATCATTAACTGGTACATCTTCCATACCAGTAGTACTACTATTTATCTAGAATTTTTTTTATGTTTACGGAATCGTTTTATAATATAGTTGATTTCGTTATAGGGCAAATTTTTCAATGATCAGATTTTATTCAAATTCCTGTAATTTTGAATTTGTTTATGTTGTTTTTTATCCTATGAATAAATTTTATCGCAGGCAGATCGTTAGTGTTATTAACATATTAATACTAGCGATCCGCCCGGTCTTCGCATTGGTGACTTCTGTATCTCATACAACAGCGCCACCTACCGGGTCCAATAGTGAATTTAAACCATTATCAAATCAACTTATTACACACACAAAATTTCATCAAAATTAGTCCAGCTGTTTAGGGCATTCAAAATACAGAAGCGTTGTTACCCCTGAGGACTAGTATGGAATTGCTCGTTTCCAGTAGTAAGGATCTCCGGTTCTCTAGACTCACAATACGAAACACACAGCGTTCTGTTTGCTGTTATTTTACGCTGGTATTCTGTGAGAATGGGCTCCTACCCGGTCGAGTTGAGTCATTAGTGCTACGACCATAATATAGCTACAGCGTGGCTCTACCACGTAAAACACATTTTTTTATATTATTATTTAACTTCAAAGGTAAATGTGTGTGCCCGACTTTTTTATTACTGTAATACCGTAGATTTTTTTAATTATGCGAATATCATCAGGCGCTAATGTACTTTATTTTTTAAGGATGACAAAATTACCTCTTACTCCGGAGTCGGCACTACAGCTCCCTCTATCGAGTAGCAAACCTGATGGGCCGCCTAACATCATCGGAGGCCCAATTCCAAGAGATGCTACACTTTCTCCTTCAGACAAACATCCAGCAGCTTGTAACTGTCTACGAGCCTACAAGTTAAGCGAAAAAATATTTTACAAGAAATAAAGAAATTTAGAGAAAAACCACAAAGCATGCTAGAGATAAAATATACGCAAGCTCGTGATTTAGTGAATATATTTTAAAGTTTCTAAGCTAGAAATTTTCCGTTTAACTTAATATAAAAATATCTTATGCTTTTATACCTCATATAATTGTTCCCTTGCATTTCGCAATTGAGTATCGCGAGCACTTAAGGCAGCGGCAAGTTGAAGAGACCTTTCGGCTTCATCCCGAGCGTGTCGTAATAGTGCCGCACGTTCCCGTTCTCTTTCGGCACGTTCTGCACCTAGAGCTGAAGATGCTCCACCTCTGGAACGCATCTAAGAGAAAAATTACAAAGATTAAATATTAATACCCAGAAAACCCTTTGAAAAGAGGTCAAATTTTACATTATCGAAAAGAAAATAAAGTCCTTCAAACGGGTTCCTTGAAAATAATGAATTTAGACAATATACTGAAGACGATTTGACAGTTATTCTTAATGTGACTATCTTTTTCCCTAATCCAATTTAACTAATTCAAAACATCGAAAAGAACGGAGATCGTATGTTGTTTTAAACATTGAAGGTAAAGTGAAAAGAGCACATATTTTATTGAATATTTTTAGACCTTTCTCGTTGAAGGCCCTATCGTGACGTTTGGCACGTGAATTAACGATCGCAGTGCCAAATATATCATATTTTCAAGGCTGCTGAGACCTACTAGTTAATAGTATTTAAACTTAAATTAAATATTAGCAGTAAAACTTAAACCTGTTCATAATTCCTTATAAAATCCCGGAGCTCTTTTTCTTTATCTTCAAGCGTAGCGTAAAGTTGTTTCATCTGGTTCAACAAATCAAATTTCTCGGCTTTCAATCTCTTCTTATCCGCTTTCAAAGCTAAAATAAATAACGTATTAACTAAGAAATGTTGGTCGCTTATTCACGGTTGTACTTTGTAGTAACTTATAGTCATATTTTCTTTTAATTATAATTATAGTATAACGCTAAGTTTTTAAGTTTTTTTTTTTGATTTATAAAACATTACGAGAAAAAAGTAACGCTATAAGAATTAATACATAAGCTAGAATTTTACAAATGCCTTACAGCTCACAGCTTCTCTAGCAAGTAACAGCTCTTTTTCTAATTGTTGAGGATCTAGAGTTGGGGCATCGTCTGATCCTTCTCCTTTGCTACGTTCCATCAACGCAGTACCAGCTTCGCCACGCTCTGCTGCAGCTACTAGGAGTCGTCGCACACGTGTTAACTCAGCCTGTGTAGTAATATAAAGAAAACCCTTTTAATTTAAATGATTTTAAGTGAAATTACTCGCTTTATATATTTTATTACTTTCATGTAATGAAATATGTATCATTTGCTTCAGCGACTAATTCCTTTTATTAAAAAAAGAATGCAATTATTAGTTACACATTTTTTTATTAATAGACTCCAACGTTGTATTTATTTTACAGATAAATCCTTTATACATATTTTTTTTTGATATTTTACTTTTAGGACATAAAAATACAAAAATAGTAAAGCAGATTTTAATTTTGTTATAGTACCTGCAGACGTTCATTTTCGAGTCTCAACCTGCGGGTTAGTTGAGTCGCAGTTAGCATTCCAGGAGACGCTGGTACCTCTTCTTGACGAGACCGATCGGACCGACCTCCAGGTGACGCTGATCCTGTTTATTTGTTTCACACGTTAGGTCATTAGTGTAATAAGTTTATATTTGGGTATTTCTGATGTAAAAAATGTTTAAGTTTAAGTAAACTGAACTTTTTGTAATCAAATGTTTCAATGGAAATTTTCATTTTTATTTAAAGTACCTTTAATGTTAAATTATCATTATTTTTTTCTAAACATTATTTCTAAGTAAAAATTAGTACGTATTTAATTAAAATTTTAATATAAAAAATTATTTGACGAAGTAATTCATTTGTTTGACTTAATGGTAGTTAAAAGAAGTAAAGTTTCTAATCATTAAAATAATTAATAATTTAATGCTCATATTAAAATAACATAATCAAAAATATTGGATGTTATTCTCGTACTTAAGTGATTTTAGAAGGTTTTATTAAGAAAATTTCAAACCTCCATCTAGACTTGCTGTAATATCTGCCCTGGGTTCAGGACCATCGCTACTTCGCCCTGGAGATGTTGCATCAGGTAGCGGAACTTCTTCTTCTGAACTGTCAGCGGGATCAAGAATGTTCTTTTCGCTTGTATTACTAGTTTCCCCGTTTCCTATCTCAGCATAGGTACCACTGTCACTGCCATTCTGGGTTGGCCATTTAACTGGTGACTCGAGTTTACCATTGGTTTGATTTTCTTTATTGTCATCATCTAAAATTTGACTATTAATTTACTGTCCATAAACAATTTGTCGGAAAATTGGGAGCAAATAAGTCAAGCTACTTCTATTTTTTTTATATGTGTTGTTATTTAATTATCTTTTCATTCATATCAACAACAGTATAGTATATTATGTAATTTAAAAAATAATCAATACTAATCACGAAAATGAATGAATGTTTATTTTTTTCCGCAAGTACACATTTATATAGTAGGTACCTTTACTATTTTGCATAATCTTTAAATTATATAAAATTATTAAGCGATAATAAATCTATTCCCCCTAAAAGAATTCGGGGCTGAACGTTCACCTTAATTTTATAGTATGCAAGCAAGCTGAGTTTTAGCCTAGCAAATCCTATGCAAATTTAAAGTGTTGTGCTAGTGGCAACACGGAGGTTCCACATTAGAGAAATCAAAAATATTTCAATGACATCTGAAGCCCTTCATTTTGTTCTGCAGAAAAGTGGCCTTCCTGATTTTAGAAACCTCGGAGTAATAGAGGCGTAGGGACGCGGTCATATTTTTAATTCAGAGATGAACTGAGGCTGGCATTAGATTATGATAGTTTTTCTATACTGACCTATGAATGGATTGTCCTTGCCATTTCTTATAGATATCCTTGCTGTCCTGTTTAATGTACCCTGCTTTTCCCCGTTCAAAGAGCCATTGCGTGGTTTATCTAAATTACCAATGAGAAGACGACGCTCTGGAGGAACGGGTCTTGGATCTAAGTCCGATCTTTCTAAAGCGGAACTTGCTGGGGTGATCAACGGGTCAGCTGGTTCCGGCTCCGCATCTGCTTCCACCCGTGCGCCTACTGATACTTGTTCATCCACCATTTTGCGAAGTTTCGCCTAAAGAAATTAATCAAATGTTGAATATTAATTTCTGTGAATATCTCGGTAAATTTTGGAAAAGTGAAATTTCTAATACCTAGATAACCTGAGATGTATCGTTAAATTTGAATTGTTTTACGACGTGGTTTGCCACGGATGATCAAACTGTCATCATACCAGTGGCGACTGTTTTTTTATTAAATAACAGACAGCTTTTAATAAAAGTTAAGCTCAAAGTTGCCAAAACTGCGGTTGCCAACCCGCTCACCGGGCGTGGCAACTATAACAAATATCCCCCATGATGAAAGTTACTAAGAGACGGCCCCCAGTTCCCACCAGCCCTACTATTCCTGGCTACTGTGGCGACCATGGAAATGGCGGGGCAGGGTGTGCTAAAAATCTCCGGTGGAGGTTCGGTTGTCATCTAAGACGACTCGATCTGGCAACATACAATGCACTCACACTAAGGAATGACGAGAAAGTTCTGGAGCTGGAAGAAGAGAAAGACAAATTACGCTGGCATATTATAGGATTATCTGAGGTCCGAAGAGAGGGGGAGAACACGGTAATTCTAGAATACGGCAACTTATTATATCACCGGGAGGGCGACCATCTGTCCCAAGGAGGTATTGGATTTATCGTCCACAAGTCTCTCGTTAACAACATTGTAAAGATTTTTAAATTGTGAGTGTGTCGATAAGGGTTGCGTACCTTATACTCGGAACCACCAAACAGTATTCATTGAAGATCATACAGGTTTACGCACCAACCTCGGCACATCCCGATGAGGAGGTGGAGGAAATGTAAGAGTATATCTCTACAGACATGCATTCCTCCAACAGCCACAATACGGTGTTAACGGTGTGCTGAAGGTAGGGAAATTCGGAATAGGGCAACGGAACCCAAACGACCAGCAGCTGGTGGACTTCATGGAGAAAGAGGGACTCTTTAGGGTGAACTCTTCCAGAAGCGGCTCCACAGGAAGTGGACCTGGTCGAGCCCCGACGGTTCAACAAAGAATGAGATTGACTTCATTATGACGACCAGACGACAACTGTTCAGTGATGTCTCAGTGATTGCGAGGGTTAAAACCATTGATCACCTAATGGTGAGAAGCACACTAAACCTAAACGTTAAATTGGAGAGGTCATGTCTAATGAAGTCAACACTCAGTCCCCTCGTGCTCTAATCCAAATTCCCGAAATCTTTCAGCTCGAGCTACAAAACTGTTTTCAGTGCCTAGAAGATTGCAATGCAGTGGACGATATTAATGACAAGCTCGTGGGAAACTGTCCATGCGCTCGGAGCTAAGTTCTGCAAGACCCGCCGCAGAAGAACACAAAAACTCTCCTATCACACTCTTATTCTCATGGCTGTTAAACGAGAGATGAAGCTACATTCTTCAACAGATTTGACAGCATACAGGCAACTGAACAGACAGATCTCCAAATGCATGGGCGGGACTTACGCAACTTCAATACAGCTCGTATTGAAGAAGCGATCGAGCGGAACCAAGGCTCCAAAGTCTTTGCCAGAGATCTGTCTGCCAGAAAGAGCCAACTGTCAAAGCTGAAGACCGAATGTGGCAGCATCGTTTCCGGAGCACCTGAGATTTTGAGTGAGATTGAGAGGTTCTATGGGCAGCTGTACACGTCATCGTTGGAGCCGCACGTAAGAGTGAGTAACGATCCAAGAGCGAGTCTTATCCGACATTATTCCGATGATATGCCGGACGTCAGTTTGAGTGAGATTAGAATGGCTCTTCAGCAACTTAAAAACGGCAAGGCTCCCGGATAGGATGGAATTACAGTGGAGCTTCTGAAAGTGGGCGGAAAACTGGTACTTGAAGCTTCTTGACGTACTCCGGAGGCGTGGAGCAGCAGTGCGGTGGTTTTGTTCTTCAATAAAGGTGACAACGCTCTCTTGAAGAACTACAGATCGATTTCCCTTCTGAGCCGCGTCTACGTGCTGTTTTCGAAAGTCATTACGAATTTTCCGCACGCAGACTCGACGACTTCCAGCTTCCCGAAAAAGCAGATTTCCGAAGAGGCTTTAGTACCATGGACCTATTACACACCTTTCAGCAATTTGTACAGAAGACAGAAGAGTACAATCTGCCACTTCGCCTAGCGTATGTGACAATATAGTCCTTATGGCAAAATCGCTGGAAGACCTAAGTACTCTGCTCAATGACCTCAATAGTGTCTCCCAACGGATAGGTCTTAAGATGAACATGGACAAAACAAAGATCGTGTTTAATGTCCATGTCACACCTATGCCGGTAGTTGTTGGGAGCACTAAGCTAGAAGTTATTGACGAGTGTTACTTGGGACAAATAGTCCAACTAGATTAGTTTAACTTCGACCGAGCGTTCAATCGACTGATTTAACTCGGCGGGGCAGCGTTCAGGAAACTACGACACATCTTCAAGTCAGGTATACCTCGAAACCAGAAAACTAGATTGAACAACCAGTGCGTGTTGCCAGTCATGACTTACGGATTTCAAGCTTGGGTGATCGAAGCTCAAGGTCGCTCAGCTAGCTATGGAGAGGGATATGCTCGGGGTATTTCCGCGTGATAAACTTATAAATGAAGATATCCGCAGTAGAACCAGAGTAACCGACATAGCCTAACGGATTAGTAAGCTGAGGGCGATGCGATGGGCCAGCTATATAGCTCGAAGAACCAACTACCGATGGGGAAAAATTGTTCTCGACTGGCAGCCTCGTACCGGTAGGCGAAGTGTAGGACAACTCCTCACTAGATGGAGTGACGACGTGGTAAGACATGCAGGAAGTAAATAGATGCAGGTGGTTCAGGACCGTGCTTTATGACATTCCTTGGGGGAGATCTGTGTGCAGCAGTCGACTTGTGAAGGACTGTAATGATGATGATGATGATGAAACTCAAATTTTTGAAAGTACTTTTTAAATAACTAGGAGACGGATGTGGAAATTTTCGGATATTTACACGTGCCCTAACAGCGGTATTGAAAATGCTAAAAACAATTATTCTTAATATTAAATTACGATAATATTTTTTATTGTCTTTAGTTGATAGTTACCATATTACCGCGCATATAAGAGTGATAGCAGTCTCCGCGAAAGGAATTTAAACTATTTATCGATATCACAACATGAAATCTATAAGCATAGGTCGCAAAATTATCCGATATTCTAAACTGATTGCTTTGTCTTAGTTTTTTCCGAAATAGTTGTAGCTAAGGTAGGCATATCATGAATTGTTGGTATATTTTATGATTTTTAAAAGTTTAAATTCTTAGCGTTCCTTAAAATGTTAATGCATAAGATTCAGTAATATGTTTTTTGGGATAAAACACAATATTATAGTAATATGCAATATAATATGAAGGTTGTAATAAATTAAAACAAGTATTATCTTTCAACTATAGAAAACCTCTATACTCTCTAGGTAAAGCTAATTAAAAGAGACAATATAACTCAAGCATGTATAGGTATGCTGGCCGTTTGTGAAGCTTAAAGTCGTTTAGCGATCTATGGAGACGGTTTTTTTAATGTTATAGAATCCGCAGTTGAACCAGAGCAATCAAAACAACACAGCAAGCTGAAGTGGGATTTATACTGGTAAGCCAAGTAAAATCTGCAGAAAGTCGATGGATGCAGAAATCCTAATTTCCGTTCGTTCGTTCGGTGGCGTTCCTTGGAGTAGGTCTATGTTCAGCAGTGTATTAGCGAAGAACTTTAATGATGAGGATAATGATGATATTGTATTACAATGTCAATCAATAAAGTATGAAATAATGAACCAAAATAATTTAACTTTATTGCATTATAAAGTTTAGGCGAAGTGGCGAAAAGGGCATCAGGAAACTTAGAAACTTGTGATATATAGAAAACTATCTAAACTCTACTGCTAATACGAGTACAATCTGGTTTATAGCACCTTAAAAGATAATTTAAAATAAAGAAATGTACAACCAACTTCAATATAAATTATTAAGAATAACTCAAAAACTAATGGTCAGCACTATATGAGAAGCAACCATCTTTCAAATAAAAAAAAAACAATAATCGAAATCGGTTCACCTAGAGAAAAGTTATGAGGTAACACATATAAAAAAAAAAGAAAAATATACAGTCGAATTGATTACCTCCTCCTGTTTGAAGTCGATAGATAAATATTTTTAAGATCTATTTTAATGAATTTCAATTCGGTATGGTAATTTGCTTCCCCATTTTACATGAAGTGGAAGAACATAATATGTACTATATTTTAATGGTTTCATAGTATAAAAATTGAAACCAATAGAATATAGTTTACTTTTTAATTAAATAACGTCAAAACCTTGTGATGTTATAATGATGTGACATGTTAGAATTTATTTAAGTTTTATTGAACCTTACGTAAGTACAGGATCAAAAGGCGGACTTAATGCTAAACACATTTAGAACAATGAAATTATAAAATTCGCTGGAAATTATATGTTCCTTGTATGATGAGACATCCTAATTAAGAAAACTAATTAATGTTCTGTCTCCTGAAATTAATTTTTTTATCGCTATAAGTATTCGAATCGAATCTAATATATAAATATACAAGCTCGATCTAGTTTAGACGCTAGTGTACAAAATTGTGTAAGTTATACTATGTTCAAGTGTAATGTACGTGTTATTGCTAAGCAATGTAAACTTTATGTCGACACAGCTTATTTTGTTTCCTTTTTATTGTATAACTAGTGACTCGTTAAATAGTATTTAAGTATTTTATTTTTATTGTTATACTATATTAATTTGATTTTTATCTCAAACATTACGTTAAAAAAACATAACCTTTATATTATTTATAAAATAAAGGTGACAAATGACACATAGTCCACCTGATGGTAAGTGGTTACTGTGACCGATAGACCTCTACGTCTATCCTCAATTAATAATCAAAATGCAGATGCGTTGTCACCGCTAAAGACTAATTTGCAATTCATCGTTTCCAGAGAAACAGATCTTCGGTTTTCTAAGCCCTCCATACGAAATATACATAGTATCATTAGATTATTAGAGCCTGGTCCTACCCCGGTCGAGCCAACCCACTCGTCTCACAACCATATATTTGACTTATTTTCAAATAAAACATATCAACACTAACTACAATAGTTATTTATGCGTAATAATCGTTTTGTTATATGAAGAGTTTGTTAATCGCTTGCAGTCAAGCTGTATTCATAAAGTCAAAAATTTTCTTCTTTTTGCTGTATGTTGAAATTATCCGTCATTCTGATGAATTTAGTTTTAATAACCTGTCAGAAAGAAAAATCAATCAAGTACCGTACGTCTAATATTAAAATAATTGTCAATGATAATAATTATCAATGATTCACTGCATATTTTTATAAGCTAAAGATAGAATCATTTACATTTTTAGTAAAATAGTGTTTAAAGATAAAAGATAATAAAAAATGTTGTAGTCTTCTATGTTGTATTTACCTGAGCGTCACCTAGTATTCGGCGCACTAGCGCCATTAGGCCGCTGTGGCAATCGTTATCATGCTATCCACCGCCAATTCTTCGCCTCATGTTTGTTCTGTCTTTGTACTCGTTGTTAAACAGGTAAACAATATCAAAGAGCGGTAAATAATTCTCTTTTGTTTTGTTTCTTTTTTGTTCCTTTTGTTGTTTTACTTCTTTGGCATCAAATTATGTTTCCTTCCTGGAACAAAGTAAAATCAAAATAAGTAATATAAAAGGGATTGTTTTAAGAACAAATACAATATTTGGATACTTTCAAACAAATATGAAAGTTTTATTAAAATTGGATGTACAATTGCTAAAGATGAAAGTTATTCCTAAAATAATTATAACGAGTCACACATTACACACATGAACATTGAAAGTTTAAGCATTTTTTAGTTATTATAAACAGGTTAATTATAAAGAGCTGGAACTGGAGCGTCCCAGCCCAGAGATATAAACAATATTCCAGGTGAGGCCAAACTTGCGCACACAAGCGGTTTTCCGGCATGAAATACTGTCTCGCCCTACACAGCACGTCAAGCTTTTTAGAGCGCAGTTTAGCCATTACTTTTAACTGACGACAGAACTGAACGTCACGCGATACGTCTACGCAGAGAATTGCTGACTGAAGCAGTAAGAGGAGTGCTCTGAAATAAAGGAGACACGACAAAGGTGTTGTTTTTTGCGGTAAACACGCAAACCCGTGTCTTCTGAGGATTAATCTCGACTAGATTTATTAGCTATCTTCGATATCACCTTTAAATTTCTTGCCCCGGCACTGTCTCTTGAGCTGAGCAAAAAAGCAGTAGTCCCTTGGGGACTAGACCTGGAGTGGGTATTCAAGCAGTTTGCTAAAATTGGGCTTCTTCTACATTACAGGAGCATTTAGCACAATTGGCGCAGGAATTGTTGATTGCAATATCAGACTTTTCGCACCTTGGACGCCGCCCCTGTAATCGATCATCATGTTTTAGATCTGGTGGCATTTGTGCTAGTAATTCAATGATTTGTTAGTTTCATTATCATATATGTGTTCTTCTTATTCGAGTTTTATCACCCATGGGATTAAACAGAGTTATTGATTTGTCAATTATTTTCCATAATATATGAGACAGACGAGCTCTTAGTCCATCTGGTGTTAAGTGGCTACTTTAAACAAAGACACCTGCAACCAACTTCAAACGAAGTAGGTCACAGCTATGACCTCCGAGAACTAAAATCTAATTTATATGTCTCATATCTCATTCTCTCAGTATCTCATATATTTTGAACACAACAGTGGGTGTACTGCTGACAGGTGGTAGAAATAAGTAAGAAGATGGTATCAATCCAGACAAAAGAGTCCCACTATCTAGGTTTATTTCTTTGTCAAAGAAATCTTTTTTCTCATTATTATTACCTGGATTCCATATAATTTCCATGGAACTATCCTAGCCAAAGTCAGTCTAAGTGTTGCTTTTTATTTAAAATACATAATAACTCACTTTTTTGGCCTCTTAAGGTCAGCATCTCATGCATTATTCGTCAAAATAATCGGCCAGTTTCATTAGAAGTCTCAACACATACCCTTAGATTTGCATAATGAGGCTGCCGGGTTTTTAAAGCTAGAAATGTTTGCCTCAACATTAGCCAGTTTTTGAGTTCACTGAATTTCATTACCATTGATAAGCAAGGAAAAAAATGAGACGTCATTCATAAAGAATATTTAGAGTGTATTATGTAGATATTAAATATGTATTTTTGGAATAGTATTATGCTCACACACATTTATTTGTTTTAAAATAAATTCAAAATATATTTTAGTCTAATTTTATATTAATTTTTTGTGGCATAGTGAATCATGTGTATACCGTTATTCTATTCTCTATCATTCTTACACTCCGTCACAAATCCACTGCTGTTTTCTGGCTATAAAATACGGTCCTGAGGTACCTGCAACCAACTAAAAATTATACTCGTATTATTCTTATTATTGACCAGCTGGCCCAGCAGAAGTTTTTCTGTCCTTTCCGGTAGGTGGCGCGATGATTTTCAATCAGAATTTTTTCAGGACTTTCTACAGTGTGAATATCAAATTTATTAATAACTCCACTACAGAAGATCTAGAGGGATCCTATCGAGCTATTGGGTAAGCTAGCAGGTCAACGCTATTTATCGGGACTTAGTATAGTTATAAGCCGCTTATTAGAAATAAATAAAGTCAACGTCAATCATGTAAAGTTTTCGTGATGATGTTGAGATTATCCTGGAGTTTTCATCTACAACAACCACATTTGGAATTTGTCACCTTAATAAAGGTGCACTCGAGTCTATCTCTCATCTCTGGCACCTTGGCTTCGCCTTCGGCTGGAGATTTATGTGCACAGATGGATGTGTAGGGCGTGTAGAGAGAGATGCGTCGTGTGTTTCAACGCTCTTTGCTAGAGTAATAGGTGGAGGTGATATCAAAGCGGGGCTACCCAGCCAGCGTTAGTTAGGCTGCAGTTGTCTGTGAAAACAATTCCGAGGCCCAGCTGATATGCGACGAATATGGACCACATCGCTATTATAGAGTAATAGTTCGTGTGAGTCCGACATATCCCATCCTTATGCCCCCGAAGTGGATATCCGTACCTATTTTCTCATTAACAAAATATCCCGCTCTTGGTTGACAGTCTTTTCTAATCAGACCATTGTGGAAATTTTTACGCAGCCTTGGCCTTGAAAAAAAAAACAATAACTCCATGGATCTCTCTCAGAACAGAAAATTGTATTCTGATTTGTTCTGAGTTCTAAACGTACTCTAATTTCTTTTTCTTTAATTTCTCTCTAATTTCATAAACATATCTGGTTTTCGTCCATATAATGTTAATTCTACAGCTCCAATAAAAGTCGCGGATGATATCCGCTATGTGATGGATAACCGTAAGCTTACTATCCTTGTCCTCATTGACGTCAGTAACGCTTTCGATTGAGTTGATTACGAAGTTTGCTAGATATACTAAATTTGTCGTCATCGGTTTTACAATGGTTCAGTTCCTAACTTCGGGAACGCCGACAATGTTGTTTGTATGTTATTTTATATTTTGCATGCATATTTGTCCATTTATCTAAGTAAGTTATTTGTTTTATTTTTGCTCTACCCATAGCTCTCATCGCACGCTCAAAGTTAAGCTGGCAGAGAATGACAGTATGGCATTAGTTTCCGCTTTGTACAAAAAAATATTACTGCAAAACTTTTCTATCTGTTTCAACTTATTATTTTTTTAAATATTAGTGTAATAAATACGAAACGTATATAAATTTTCTAAGCAAGATTGCAATATTATATGTGAAAATTTAATACTAGAATACACGCAATATGGTCAATTAATGAAGCAGTTGAGACTTGAGACGTCCAACGTTAACTTTAGCAATCGATCGCCGTTCACACTTTACGTGCCAGGAACGTTCACCTTTACAGAAATAATTAAGCTACGGTGTAAGTAATGGGTACTAATTATGATAAATATATATTTATGGTATTATAAGTACTATAGAAGAAATAATATTTTATGACATTATTTATATGTTAACGAACAGCGGTAGGATTTATTAATGTGGCTTTATTTATATTTTAGATAATCAAAGACTATTTATTTTACAAATTTATAGTTTTCTTTCAAAAAAATATCTCCAAGCATTTGGGTATAATTACTTCCCCTTGACTTTGATCACTTCTGGCATTACTCCCTATCTGTTTGTAAAGTTTTATTACAATTGGTTCAACCATTTCGAAGATAAGCCCGAACAGACAGACATGCAGACAGACAAAAAATTAAAAAAATGTTATTTATATCTTAATGACATCCATATAAACCACTCAGCCCAACAAGGCTTACTCATTAACAAGGTCACTTTATTTCGATACAACAATTAGACACTTATATTTATGGATGTGATATTCATTTTATTTGCAATTAGCTGCCCCCCATGATCTTGCCCGTGGGAAATTTATTATTTCATGGGTTTTAATTTTTTTGTGCGGAAATCTCATTAATATTTTTCTAAAATAAAAGTATCCTAAGTTACTCCTTATAATATCAGCCATCTGCCACTGCAAGTCACGTTTCGAAAATTACCTGATATGATTAAGAGACAGACAGATAGAAAAAAAAATTTTTTGTTATTAGTACCGTATATATTTTCATATGCATTTAGTAAAAATCTGTTATTTTAACATTACAGACCAACACTTCAAATTTATTTATTTGTATGGATTATGGATTATGGATGGATGCTATTTAGAATATACGTTAATTAAAATTTTAACAGCACCGAAAATATATTTGGTGTTATAATCGTGTTTATTTGTGAGGGTAATTTATGTTATATTGCCTTATTTACGTTTGTAAAACATCGTTTAGGTGTTGAAAACCTAACATTATAAATTAAATAATAAAAATGTAAGGGTTTATTATGTACAACATACAACAGTTTTTACTCGTATTGAATCTGTTGAGATGTTCTTCGAGCCTATTTCGATCACAGCGACATTTTTAGTCACATAATAAGAAGTAGACAACGGCTTAGGTTATGATGCCGTAAATATCATAGTAAAGACAGAAACATTTATAATACCTTCCTTCCATTCCTCCATCAATATAATTGAAAAGAAATAGAAAATATTCCAGATGTATGCTTATAGATATGATTATCTATGATGATAATCTAAATTAATTAATATTCTACAACGTTACGGGTTACGACAGTAAGCTTCACTATTTTGACGTCAAAGGCTATTCGCTTTAAGTCTTACTCGTTGTACGTCTACAAAGACGATTACACTAATATAAGTTTACGCTCCAAGGAACAAAAGTCTTGCAGTGTTATTATAAACATTTTATGATCAGTATTAGTAAATCAAATTATTTTGTAACTTTGTTATATTAGAGATAAAAACAATATTATTACATGATTCATAATAGTTAGATATTTTAATAAATAAGAAGTCATATTATATTGTAACATTGACATTTAAAAAATTACGT